ATTCTTGGAGATGACGCCAAAGACGCAGACCACAACAACAGAAACAGTCAAGTTGGATTTAACAGAAATCTTAAAACTTTGCACATCAAAAAGTATTATCAACAAAGTGAAAAGGCACCCACCAAACGAGCGGACATGCTGGCAAACTGTATGCCTGATCAGGAATTCATAAAAAAAAATAGAATACTCCTAACACTCACCAACAACAACAAAAACAACCACCCAATCCAAAAATGGACAAACAGTCATTTCTGCCAAGACACATACGTGGCCAACGCACAGGAAACAGGGAGAGGCACGCACGCCGCCCACCGCCAGGCGCGCATCATCACCCATCACCAGGGAGACGCAGATCACAGGCGGGACGCATCTTATGCCCCCAGGGCAGCCACTGTCAATCGACAAGCACAAGATACAAGAGCGGGCCGAGGACGTGGAGCCGAGGGAGCCCCATGCACTGTGGGTGGGGATGGAAGACAGTGCAGCCACTGTGGAAAACAGCTAGTGATTCTTTGCAATAAAAACAGGACCACTAGTGACCCGGCAAATCACAGCCGGGTCTGCACCCAGAGGGCCCTGGAGTGGGTCTCAAGAGCTCCTCTGCACACCACGGTCACGGCAGCGCCATTCATGATGGCCAAAGGAGGGCACAGCCCAAGTGGCCGTAGACAGAGAATGGGTGAACACACATGGTCAATCCTCACAGTGGAGCACAACTCAGTCTTCAAGAGGAGGAAACCCTGACACTGGCCACAACACCCACGGCCCTTGAGGACGTCACGCTCAGCGAAATAAGCCCATCACAGGAAAAATGTTGTAGGATTCCACCAGGTCCCTAGGTCATCCAACTTGCAGAGCCAGGGGCTGGGGCGTGAGTCTGAGGGGACAGAGGGTTAGCTTGGGAGGATGAGGAAGTCCTGGAGGTGATGGTGGCAATGGCTGCACAATGATGGGAATCCTGAATACCACCAAACTTTATGGGGGGGGGACCCAAAAAACCCCAGAATTATTTTTTGGAGGATGGGTCCCTTGTAGTATAGGCTTTCCCCACTAGGCACGTGTTCTACAAACTCATTGGCATCAGTGTACCAGCTAGCGTTGTAGGGAGAGGCTGTGTTTGGTTTCAGTGAATTTTTCTGGAGATTCTTTTAATGCGTTTGCCTATTTCGTGATGGGTGATTTACGAGCACACCTGCCCACACTGTGCTGAGTATTTGGCAGTTTTTGACCAAAAATGGCAATGACCCCTGTGTCCCACCCTCCTGATTCACCCAATCTTGCCCCAAGTGACTTTTTTTGTTTCCTCAGATGAAAAAAGTCCTCAAAGGGAAATGTTTTGCTGATATGGAAGAGGTGAAGCAAAAAAAACCAAGTGTTAAAAGGCGTCAAAATGGACGGGTTCAAAACTGTTTTGAGCAGTGGAAAAAGCATCTCTACAGGTGTACTGCATCCGAAGGAGAGGACTTTGAAGAATAAATACACAATTTTGTATAAATAAGTTTTTCGGGTCCCCCCTTGTACATTTTTAAACTGTTAAGATGGTGAATTTTATGTTATGTGTATTTTACCAGAATAAAAAATTGGGAGGAAAAAAAGAATAGCAGTGCTTACATGGACCACAGCATGGATGAACCCTGAAGCCACGTGTCACACGGTTGTATGTATACAAAAGGCCCAGAACAGGCAAATCCAGAGAGACAGAAAGCAGAGCAGTGGTGGCCAGAGGCTGGGAAGACAGAACCAGGAGCAACCTGACGGGGACAGGTTTCCTTTTCAAACAGGTTGTGGAAAGGTAGAGGTGGTGGCTGCACAGCAGTGGGAACGCCGTTGAAGTAATTGCTTTAATGCAGTTAAAACAGTGCATTGCATGCTAAGTGTATTTTGCACTTTTTTAATCTATTTATTTGTTTACTTTTATTCTCACTTTTTTAGTTGGAGTCTTGTGCAGTGGCACGCTCCCAGCCACTGCAGCCTCAACCTGCTGGGCTCAGGCGATCCTTCTGCCTCAGCCTTCTGAGTAGCTGAAATGACAGGAACGCGCCACCATGTCTAGCTAATTTTTTGATTTATTGTAGAAATGAGGTCTCACCAAGTTGCCCAGGCTCTTCTCAAACTCATGGGCTCTGGCAATCCTCTCACCTCGAACTCCCAAAGTGCTGGGATTACAGGCTTGAACCATCACACTCAGCCTACAATTTTTTAAAAAAACATATAAGACCAATTAAGTTCATATTGACAATAGTAGACTGAGCTGGAAGGTATTCCACAGAGAGCAGGGCAGGCCCGGCCAGCACATGCCCTTCCAGTGAGCTGCCCAGCTGCACCCTGCACTGGCCCACCTCTGGCCACATTTGTCCTTCCAGCCGTTTACACCTGTAAGCCAAGACTGCTCACTGACTCTGACCCTGGAAGGTGCTGCCTGAGGCCACAAGCTGTGTGAACACTGGCATCCAGCAAGCACCAAGTTACACAGTGCACCCTGTGCATGGTGGCCCCGGGGGACCAGAGCTCGGTCCTGTGTCTGAGACGAGCACTAAAATCCAATGGAAGCCCAAGATACTAGGGAAGATGCAACCCTTCAAGCAGCCCCTGCCCCCACCTGGGTGACACCATGCTGTCTCACACCCTCCCGATGCCAGCACCCAGAGGGCCTCCCTGTGGCCAGGTGAGTGGCAGCATACGGGGTGCGACATCGGCACAGAGGAGCCCTTCCACCTGGCACCCGCCCTGACCACCCTGGCAAAAGGCCCTGGGTTCTGGTGGAATGCCCCTACCATGTTGAGTGATCGCCACACTGCAGAGCATCTCAAGGACCTGCTCTTGTGCCCAAGGAGGTCCTCTCCAGGGCCCAGGTGCATTCCTGGCATTCCTCACATCTTGGCCTCCTCTGCAGGGCGGCAACCTCCAGACCATGCCCCCAAGCAGCCCCTGACCCCACGCCCCACTCCTGCGGAGACCCAGCCAACTCAGGCCACCCCTCCCTACACGAGTCTGGTGTGGTCAGTATCGATCCAGGCAAAGGGGGCCACCCAGGGCATGGGCAGAAGGCAGACCCCGGAGCTCCAGGCAGGGCTGAGGCAAAACCTGGGAACGCACCGGATCCTCCAACCCCAGCTACTGTCCAAACCTGGGGGCACCTGGTCTGGGCACAGGTGGGGCAGGTGAGCAGTCTGGCCATCATGATCAAACAAACAGCACCGTGGTCCCCTCCTGCAGACAGTGAAGCGAGGTTGTGGAGTGCAGTGACAGACACCATCATCTCACCCATGGGAACGTCTGTCTCGTGTTTCTCTGTCTGCACAAAGACGCACTATCACAGGGCACTGCTGCCCCTTCGGGGTGTACAGTCCTGTCCGTGGAACATGGGATACCCCAGAGGGAGGCTCCCGCAGCTGCAGGCCACGCATGGCCAGGAAAGTCACAGACGGGGGCAGCCCTCTAGGTGACAAGGACGCTGAAAGCCAACCCGCCAGCCATCTGCCTCCAAGGCCTTCCCTCTGGCCTCCCGGGGCTCATGCCACAGGGGCACTCAACCACCCTGAGCCTCTCTGGGCACCCCTGCGACCCCCACCTTCGGAATCTCCCAACCTGCACCCCGCAGCACCCACACCACTCCTAGTCCCACATGAAGCAAACCACAAGTGGGCCAAGTATCTCCTGCCCCTTGGCCCCGGCCTCTGTGGCCTCCAGGCCATCACCCTCGCAGCCCAGCTGCGCAGAACATTCTTAACCTGGGACTCAATTCCACATGACTCATTTATTTCCCTTGTCAACTACCTCCCGCCAGGACATACTGGGGTTCCCCTTCTTCTTGGCCCAGGCGGCGTCCGGCACCGAGAGGCACAACCAGGCCGCACAGAAGAATGTGCTCCCGACCTCCTCGCACTCTCTCCGTGCCCCAAAGGGTCTGTGGTATCGCCTGCCGCGGCCGCACCCCCATGCCTCCTTCCAGCCCCAGCAGCCGAGGCCCAGAACATCCTGCTCCATTCCTAACACTCCATTCCCACACTCTGGGCACTTCCCGGGTCTCAGGTCCTGTTCTCTGGAATGGCCAGGACAGGGATCTCACGCAGCCTGCTCTGCCAGATGGGCATGTAAAACCCCACGACCCAAGAACCCCCTTCACGCCAAGTGCCGCCAGAGGTCTAGTTTCTCCCTGAACCCCAGTCTGCTGCCCACCGGCACCCCTCACAGGTGACGCAGGCAGCTCAGATGCCACAGAGCCTCACCAGCACCCAGCAATCACCCAAGGTGTTGACCCCACAGCCAGCGTGAACCATGGGAGCCAGGCTGGATCCCCCAACCAGAGGACACTGAGCCACATCCCCAAGCTGGATGGGCACCAGTCTCAGTGCAGAAGTTCCTGCCCATCATGATGGGGACGCATGGCATGGAGGCCAGGGGCAGGTGGGATCAGCCACAGTCACGCAGAGGTGCTGCCCGAGGACGCCTGGGCAGAGCTGCTCCCAGGTGCTTGAGGATCAGCAGCCTCCTGCACGCAGTTGGAAGCAAGGTCAGACGGGTCCCTGTGACACCACTTGCTCCCGTTGTCTCCTCCAGACCAGCCAGTGTGAAAGGAAGGTGCCCCACCTCGGGCCCGGGGCCACTGCCGACCAGAGGAGCAGGCAGCCAGACCCGGGGAGTGGCCATGAGCTGAGGCAGCCACACAGGAGCAGCGTCCGGCCTCCTCACCTGGCCTCTCCCTCCTAGGAGACATCAGACACTTCCTAGACATTGGCTGTGCCTACAGTTAATCCAGCCTGTCCTTCCCACAACAGTGCGTGGTCACCCAGAGCACATACGTGGCCAAGGCCGCAGGCAGCAGCCGCAGAAAAGCCCCACACCCAGGCACGCGGCCGCTCACACGGACTCCAGTCTCTCCACCAGGGTCTGTGTTCCTGAGCCGTGCTCCCCAACAGCACCATCGCCACCTCCTGGCACCACAAGTCAATGCCCAACCCTGGGAGGCCATCCCAGTCCCAGGAAATCCTAGTACTCACTGTCTTCTCCTGGACAAGGCATGCCTGGCTGCTCGGGGATGCTTGGGAAAACTGGAGGGGAGGGGGAGACAGAAAGAGAGAGAGAGAGAGAGTCAGTGCTCACTGCGGCCACTTGGCAAGCCTGCCACAGAGGCCCACCCAAAGCCAGGGGCCCAGACGCGCTTGGTGCATAGCACTCACAACAGCACCACAAGCACCTGCTCTTGGGAGGTGCTCTTTAAAGCAGAAGCGAGACGCGCGTCCATGTGAACTCAGCTCCGCTCAGTAGGACTTACAACCAGCCAGAAAGCTCGGGAGAATGCCACCAGGGATCGTGTGGCAAGGCCGTGAAAGAAAAACTACTGATTTCAGCACTTAAAAACATATTTAAAAGGTGGCCAGGTGCAGTGGCTATAATCTCAGAACTTTGGGAGGCCAAGGTGAGAGGACTGCTTGAGCCCAGAAGGTCAAGGTTGCAATGAGCTATGAATGTGCCACTGCACTCCAGCCTGGGTGACAGAGAGAAATGTTGTCTCAAAAAATATATAATAATAAGCAGCCTGGCATGGTGGTTCATGCCTATAATCCCAGCACTCTGAGAGGATGAATCAGGAAGATTGCTTGAGCTCAGGAATTCGAGGCCAGCCTGGGCAACATGGCAAGACCTTGTCTCCACAAAAAAATAAAAAATTAACCGGGTGTGGTGAGACTCACCTGTAGTTAGAGCCACTCGGGAGACTGAGGCAGAAATATTGCCTAAGCCCAGGAGTTCAAGGCTGCAGTAAGCTATGATCATGCCACTGCACTTCAACCTGAATGACACAGGGAGATCCTGTCTCAAAAAAATATAGTACTGAGGTGAGTGGATTGCCTGAGCCCATGGGTTCGAGACACGCTTGGGCAGCGAGACCTCATCTCTACAATAAATCAAAAAAATCAGCCGGGCGTGGTAGTGCACGCCTGTAGTTCCAGCTACTCGGAAGGCTGAG